TCTTTTACGTGCGACAGTAAGTACTACCTCCGTTTTCAATTTGGCACGGTTATTAATAAATTAGTTGAAAAGTAAAAATTGTGGTTGAGATTTTGAGTAGAATAAAGTAAAATGATAAAGATCACATATTTCTTGCCAAAAAAGGAAACAAGACATTCATTTTGGGACAACCCAAAAAGGAAAGTAGGACAACCATAATGGGACGGAGGGAGTATATGTCTATATGGATAATGGATGAGCATTGTGAACATTGTTCGAGTGATTCAGATTTATTTTTTTAAAGGGTTTAGAATGAAATCTTAGGAGTTCAAAATTAATTCAAATAAATCAAAAGTGAAAACAAAAGTTGGATAGAAAAAGTAGCCTGTTTGATTTTTTTTTTTGATGAAGTAGCCTGTTTGATTGGTAAAGATTTTAAATTAGTGAAATGGCAAAAACTTGAGTTCTATAGTAGTACTGGGTCAGTGCTGCGAGCTGGCTTTAGTCTAGTTCCGGACCAAAAGAGGCCTTGGATTTGACTTATAACTTGCTCCCTCCCTAACAAAAAAAATATTCTCACTTTCCATTTTCGTCCGTAACAAAAAATATTTTCATTTCTAAATCTTCCTATCATACCCTCAATAATTCTGAAAATAGTACACCATTACAACTATTTTTTGAATTTATCCTACATTGCATCACATTATTCCTATATCTTCTCATCTTATCCTCAATAATTCATATCATCTTTCACTATTCTTAATCTAACTACTTTTGAAATGGGAAGGTTTTTAAGGTACGAAGGGAGTATTCTCTAAAATGTAAGAACTAGACCTGTCTAGTTCAGGTCCATTTGGAGGAACTCCTACGGTTCACAGATGTGAAAGCGAGCTGTCAGTCTAATTTTGTACTAATTCAGTCCCCATGCATGAGGAAGGTATGATAAGGATCAAGATTAAGGAGGATGTCGAGGGCTTCATCCTTGTATAGCCTTGACTTGTAAGTTTAATTAATACACTATTAGAAGATAAAATGACATGATTCACAATATAATGATACCAAGTGATGTCTCATTTGAAAAGCAATTAAGAAAGACAAAAAAGCGTATCCCTTCTAAGTTCAAACGTGTTCTCCACTTGTAAAAAAAAGCGAGCTAGGGGGCACGAGGGGCTTCCAATCCTGAAAGTGGCATTAGTACATAATTGAGAACCGGTGGCCCCACTTTTGATCAAGTTACCTTCGTGGCTTCGTCCCATATTGATTATCCTGTTTTAATTTGACACGATTATTAATAAAGTGATCGAAAATGAAGAGTTATGATTAAGATTTGAATAGAATAAAGTGAAATGATAAGCACCACATATTTCTTGTAAAAAAAGAAACAAGACATTCATTTTGACACAAATCAAAAAGGAAAATAGAACAACCAAAATGAGAAAAAGAGAGTATTAGTTCTTACCTTGGATGTTGTAACTTGTAAGAGATGTTATAGATAGATATTATTGCGCTGAAGAAAAACATGCATTATTATTTAAAATTCAAGCTCAACATTATACATAACATTATTTCGATATAGAGTACTTTCGAGTTTTGGCATTTAAATGAAACATCACATTGTTGCTGTATTATACTACTTTCGTCCCTTAAAACTTTGCCAAAGTCGATCGGCACGGAGAATAATAAAGTAAAAACTGTATGGTTGAAGTTTGTGCAAAAGAGAGAGAAATAACAGAAGTCTTGAGAAAACGGTTTTGATATAAATTTTCTCATGGATCGGCACAAATTTGTGGATCCTTGCCCAATCCATGTCAAACTTGTTTTGTCAATAAAGTTTTTGCACAAGTCTTGACGGAAATCAGTGCCAATTCTAAACAAATTCGTGTCAAACACATTATCTTAGATATTAAAAGATGATAATACTTCAATATATAAAATCATATCCTAAAATTGAAGTTGTATTGAAGGAAGTTGTTCCACAATATGTAAGATGGGCACTTTCCGGGTAGGAACTTGGACAATTAATTCTTTAGTCTAAAACATTATTAGAATTTTAATCTTAAATATGAAATCGTGCAAGAACACTACGATTTAGTATGTTTAAATGGGGTTGGGTATTGGAGAATTCCAGTTCCAGTCCTGTTTAGAATTATTCAAATGAATCAAATGGGCGTAAGATTATACATGATCTGAATTCAAAACTGGCAAAGTGTTTTCCAGCTAGCACTCTTCAATCTTCAGTGCATATACATATGACCTAATCATAATAGCTGGCCCAAAACCTATCATGCCCCTCAAGCCCTAGGGACGGAACAGGCCCGGTGCGGGTCGGGCCTCAAGACGGGCCGGGGCAGGCTTTTAATTTCTGGGTTAGGACCCGGTACCAGGCCGGGATTCTACCGGGACCGGGCCGGTCTACCCGCCTGAGTGTCGGGTCAGGCCAGGTCCAGGTATTTAATTTTTTTTATAAATCTAGTTTACAAATTAATTCAAGAAGTGCTAGATATAAAAAAGTTAAAGTATATTTATTTGAAATATGAATTACATTTTTTTTGGAAGAAGAAATATGAACTACAATTGAAAATTGAGAAAAAATTAAAACATGAAATATATTTTCTGATAAATAATAATCAGTCGAAACCTCCGCCACTGTCGGTTGTTGTTTCCTACATAAAGTAGCGGGTAGGGGCAATGCTAACTTCTTGAGTTCTATGTTGGGCCTTCAACCAATCGTGGAAGCAAACAAATGTCTCAAACAAGTTTGCACTCAATCTTGTTCTATAATCTGTTACCATGTTTGCGCGGTTGCGCCCAACGGCTAGGAGGCTACCCAATCATTTTTTTTATTCTAGCTGTTACCAGCCCGGACCGGTCCACCCTTTTGCTAACGCGTAGCCCGCCACTTCAACCCCACGGTTCGGGCCTATTGGATTAGGGGTGGATTCGGTTCGGGCCACCCGGCCCGTGGACCGGTCCGGCCCGCTACTGTGAGGGACCGGGACCGGCCCGCTACTTTGCGGGACCGGGACCAGCCCACTACTGTGCGAGACTGGGACCGGCCCAGTTCTCAGGTCCGGGTCCGGGTCGGGCATAGGCACGAGGGAGGGGCGGGTCCGGGCTCGGGTCTTACATTTGGCGAACCGGCCCGTCCGGGTCGGGCCTGGGTCCGGGCCAAATTGATTTTTTTTTTTCCATTTTTTGGGGTTCCACCCGGGTTGGGCTTAATGGTTAGGAGGGGTTTGGGGGGTGGGGTGTCGGGGGTTAGGAAAGCAAAAAAAAAAAATCATAATCATAATCATAACATTAATCATAATCATAATCGTAATCGTACTCGTACTCGCACTCGCACTCGCACTCGCACCCGCACCCGCACCCGCACCCGCACCCGCACCCGCACCCGCAACCGCCGCCGCCGCCGCCGCCGCCACCGCCACCGCCACCGCCACCGCCACCGCCACCGCAGTAACAGTAACAGTAACAGTAACAGTAACAGTAACAGTAACAGTAACAGTAATAATAACAGTAGTAGTAGTAGTAGTAATAATAATAATAATAATAATAATAATAATAATAATAATAATAATAATAATAATAATAATAATAATAATAATAATAATAATAATAATAATAATAATAATAATAATAATAATAATAATAATAATAATAATAATAATAATAATAATAATAATAATAATAATAATAATAATAACCAAACAGGAGGCCCGGCCCGCCCCGGACCCGATGGCTACCCGGTCCAGTCCCGGGTCCACCAAATCTGAACCGCCGGCCCGCCCGGGCCTAGGCCCGACCCGGACCCGGACCCGGACCCAGCCCGGCCCGAATCCACCCCTATACTGGACCAGTCTCGATCCCGATTGGCGGGCCAGGCCGGTACTAAACAACGCCCGGGCCGATCGAACCGGTCCCGGGCCATCCCTATCAGGCCCTCATTCCCGAAAAAAACTAGGTTAAACATTGCTCATATCCCCAATTCCCCACCACCAGTTTAAGCATAATTCTATATTAACCTTGTTGAATAAATTGTATGAACTAAAAAAATCTAAGATTTACAAACTCAAAAAAGTTCAAACCTCTAAAAGAAATTGAAATGTTAAATCACTCAAAAAAAAAGAAAACATTCTATAGAAATTAGAAACGGTAACATTTTCTACTAATAAAAATGCTTCCTCATATTTAGCCTTGGACCCGGTTCGGTTCCTGTTCTAGGCCCGGTTTAGGGGGGGTAACCGGGGCGGGTACGGGTCTGGGACATATGGAACCGGCCCGGCCGTTTCCGAGCCCGACTCGGGCTTTATTCTTTTTTTAATTTTTTTTTAACTTTCCAGGTTGGGCTGGGTATTTTGAGCTGGTTGGGGGTGGGGGTGGCCAGGGGGTCAGGGTTTAATTAGAAAAAGCAAAAAAATATACTTCCTCTGTTCCCTTTTAATTGCAACAGTCAACATTTCACGTTTGCCAAAGCACAAGTTTGACCATTAATATCTTTCATTCCTTATTAGTAAAAAATTCAAAAAATTCATATTTTAAAAATTTAGAATGAGAAGAATTTAATAATATTTTTTTTAAATTAATTTATAATACATTAATGAATAAAAAATAGTCAAAATAGAATATGTGAATAGTGTAAAAAGTCCAATGTTGAGATTAAAAGAGAACGGAGGATAGTATATAAAGAGGCCCGAACCCGATGGATACCCGGGCCTAACCCCAAATCCCAGAAAGCCCACCGGGCCTAGGCCTGGCCCGAATCCACCCCTACGCATATTTCACATTTTTTCGTGACGGTGCAGGCTTACACAGTTACACAGTTACACCCTACCCGTTTCTAATTGCAAAGTTTGACAATATATTAGCAGATTGATGTTTTCCGGTGTGCAAATAATACTAACTGCGCAGTTATTTTCAAGAATTCATTTGAATACCTTCCCGATTGAAGTTTTAGCTTAAGTTTGGTATGAGTAAGCTAGACTTGATGAATAAGATCTCAAAAATTTTCATAAAAAAATTCCACCAGGAACCACCCCAAATGACGACGGCCGGAAAGAGCCTCCTAAATAAGGGTTTATTTGACTTTTTTGGTTAGTACATGGGCCTATTTGCACCTTTTCCCAAATAATAATAATGAGAATGATGATAATAATAACAATAGTATTTATAATAAATAATACAATGCCAAACAATCAACAACAAAACATACATAATTTACAGGCTTCCTACTACACCTATCTTCAAGTGTCACTGCTTCAAAGGAGCTACCTGACTAACAACAAAGCTTCCTGGGTTTATAGTAATACTCTTTGTGCAATTGTCAGTCTTGTATATGCCCACAAGTCGATCAGCCAATTCAAACATGTTGTTTCTAAGGCTGCAAGAATTTGAGAGAATGAGATTAGGTTCAAACTGCATTGACATTTCACAACCATGCTGCTGCGTTAAACATACCTTATGATGATGAACTGTGCATCCTTGGTGCGGTCTTTCACGTAGTGTCCCACAATAGAGACATTTTTGAAATCTGTTATTGTGTGAAAGATTGAAAATATCAATATATCACTAAGGTTGGAATAGTGAAAGGAGATAAGTTTTATGGTTAACAGAACAACAGTGGAAAACAAAGGGCTTACCCAAAGCAGCATCAATCTCATCCATCACATACAGAGGAGTGGGCTTGAAGTGGTGAAGGGCAAACACCAGAGCTAATGAGCTGAGTGTCTGACATTAAAAAACATCATGCATTAGCAGGGGAGCTCTACATTTGAAAGTGACACAAATATAATGAAAAGTAAATCGTGTGATTGGTGTTGAATTTGTAAAGTATGAATAAAGATGGGACATAGATGATAGATGGTGGGAGAGGGGAAAAATCCAAGTTCAAACTTCCTTTTTAAATAATTTTTAGATAGTAAAAGACTCTTTTGGTCTATGAATACAGTAATTACTCACTTTCTCCACTAATATCTTCAATGGAAGACAGATTTGTAAAATAAATTAAAAATTATCTTGCCTAAAAAGCCATGAAGTCAAAACCATAGGTACAGGGATCGCAGAACTACCCGCGATTTCCGATCCGGATCGCGCGTACCGGATCGCGGTACAATCGCGCGCCAATCGCCTCTGGTTCGCGTTTCGGGTACGGCGGATCCTGGTAGCAGTTCACGTCTTTCGTCTCGCGGGTACGCCGATTCCAGGTTGAGGTTCGCTCGTTCCCTCCAGCGTCCAACGAACCGGCAGTCCAACAGTCTTGATTTTGATTTTTTTTTTTGAACTCAAAGCCATGGTCGGCAACTGACGAGCTTCACAGTTCGTAAATTGTAATACGAATTTCATTCCTTAAAAAACTAAACGACTCGACCCCTCAGGCTCTCATAGTGTGAAACGACTTTTCATTCATATTTCACACTTCATAGTTCACGCAATCACACCTATTTAAAGGCCTAACATCAGTACTCAGCATATCAGACTCTCTGCACCTCTCTACTCTTCTCTTCTCAGCATATACTGTTTGCCTCAGTATTCTTTTCTTCAAAATGGTATTTGGCAAGCGTAAATTGCTAGAAACACAGTCAGATGATATCACAGATATGACCCTGAGTGATGAAAAATAATAGAAACTGCTCCTACTCCAATTGCTACAGAAGAGGTCTGCACAGGAAGTCAAAGTTCAAAACAGGACAGCAAAGATGACAGACCTTTATTGGAAGAAGTAAACTTGGTTGGAGCTCCTGATGCATGCTACTATATAATATTATGGAAAGATAAACAGAGTAATCAAGTAGAATAATGAGGAGTAATATCTGATTGATTTGCTTGATTGAGTTTATTATGATTTGATTTTAATACCTTCATTATTTAATCTATTTTAGGAAGTGATTTTCTAGGATTTCCCTTTCCTTGTTATCTGCATGTAATCCCTCTTATAAAAGGGAGCTTTGATATGCTAATAAGATATCGAAGAAAAATTAAGAAGAAACCAAGGAGAAGGAAAACTCCCCAAATTTCCACATCCCCTGATCCCCTATCCATTTATCATTTTTATTTTATTCCCGTGACGCAAAGAATCCCGGTACATAACAGCTCCACCCTCCAAAAATGCAGGTGGTGCCAAAGTTTGGATATGTAAGCATTGTAATCAAAGATTTACAAGCTCTTGCACTAGAATACATGTCCATTTCTTTGGTTCTCAACCGGGGAAGAAGGCTGAAACTAAACGGTGCCCTGCTTTGCTCAACAATTGGGAGAAGTATGAACAATTGTTGAAGAAAGTCAAGGCGGCTGAAAAGGCGGGAGTCTCTCGATCCTTGAAAAATTCTATGCTCAATAAACCACAAAGTATCCCTTCAAAAAAAAACAATTCAAGACTCCTTTGGAATAATGGAGAGAAGTATGGTTGATTTGAAAATTATTAGAGGATTGTGTGCAAATGGTATTCCATTCAATGTACTACGCAATCCTCAATTTATAGAAATGGTAAGTGCCATCAACAAAGCACCCACGGATTACAAGCCTCCATCCAGTGAAAAAGCAAGGACGGTTTTGCTTGATTAATGCGTCCGAGATGTAGAAAAAGACCTCACACCGGTTAAAGATACTTGGTATACACAAGGTGTTTCCATCGTATCCGATGGATGGTCTAATATCAAGCACAAGTCCTTTATCAATGTCATTGTTGTTAATAGTCGTGGTGCAATGTTTATGTACGCGGAGGACTTCTCTGGATTGGAAAAAACCGGTGTGGCAATTGCGAATTTCCTGCTTGGAGCAATTGAAACTGTAGGACCGAGCAATGTTCTTCAAGTTGTGACCGACAACGCATCGAATTGCAAAGCTGCGGGTAGGGAAATTGAGAAGGTACACAAACACATCTTCTGGTCTCCTTGTTGTGTTCATACTTTGAATTTGATTTTTAAAGATCTTGACAAGGAACTTGATTGGTTGATGAATACATACACGAGAGGGAAAGTTATTGTGAAATATTTTCTTAATCACACCCAAGCTTTGGCAATTTTTAGAGATAATTCAAAGTTGGAGTTGTTGAAAGTTGCAAAGACTAGGTTTGCTTCACATTATATTTTGCTGAAAAGGTTGAGGGATTGTAGAGAGGCTCTTGCAACAACTATTGCCCTTAATTCTTGGAGGGATTGGGTAAAACAAGGGGATGAAAACACAAGGGTCACTGGACTGTTAGTCGTCGATACTATTAGGAGCGAGGAATTTTGGGATGATGTGGATAACATTCTTGCAATAACAAAACCAATTTTCTTGCTAATTAAGTTTTGTGATGGCGAAGGATCCAAAATGGGGGAAATCTATGAAAAAATGGATAACATGTTAGGAGAAATAAAAGATATAATGGCTACAAATCAATACGCTTCGGACTTCCAAAAGTAGAAGCTATTGTGTTAGCTAGGTAGGAGAAGATGACTATTCCTTTGCACTGTTTGGGTTTTGCTTTATCCCCATGATTTTATGATGTTTGCTATCTCGAGAAACTAGCACCGGGTGGAGTTGCTAGAAAAGCTCCAAACTTGGACAAAGAAGTTGTGTTAGGTGTCATGAAGGCTTTTAAAAAAATTGGTGAAAATCAAGAACAAAGGCTCTTAAGAGAACAATTTGCAAGATTTCACATGAAGAAGGGATTATTTTCTATGGCGGCAACTCAAATGGATGCGGTAACTATGGAGGCCATTGATTGGTGGTCAACATACGGTTCAGAGACTCCTGAGTTAGCGGAGGTTGCAAAAAAAGTTTTGTCACAACCTATAAGTAGTTCCTCGGCTGAGAGAAATTGAAGCACTTACTCTTACATTCATAGTGTGAAGAGGAACCGTTTGAATTGTAAAAGGGCTGACAAGTTGGTATTCATTCATTCAAACATTCGTCTTCAATCAAGATTTTCCGAAAGTTACAAAGTTGGCCCGAACAAGAAGTGGGATATTAATCCTGAAAGTGCGTATGTTGAAGGGTCAAGTGCAAGACTCGATGAGCTACAATGGGAAGATTTAGAAAGAGAAGATGATGCTCCAAATGATAAAGGAAAGAGGCCAAGGATTGACTAGTTTGCTGCACACTTATGTTTAATGTTTTGTTGAAGTTTGTTTAATGTTTATTTCTTGTTTTGTTGATAGTTGAAGTTGTTGCTGCCGTGAAACTTTATTTACTGTTTTATATCTTTTATTGTTGTTGTAAACATTGCTAAGTTTATTTAATGTTATTGAAGTTATAGAAGTTAATTGTTTAATATTATATTAATTATATTAATTATATTTATAGTTTACTTGGTAAATTCTATATGTTTATGGTTCACCATACCATAAACAAAGGGTACAGCGTACCGCGTACCGAAGAAGCCTACCCCCCGCGTATCGGATTTCTAATTTTGGCGATCCGCATTCCCGTTTCCGTACCGCGTACCGAAACGTACCGCGATCCATGTGACTATGGTCAAAACTATAATACTATGTATTGCTTTTGTGGGGAGGGAGATCGAATGAGTTACCACTTAACAATGAAAATAAGTTTACGATGATGTGCCATGGAGTTGTGTACCTTTTCACCACCAGACAAATTCGCAATATTTTTCCAGCTCTTCTTGGGCGGTCTAACGCTGAAAACAACACCTTCAGAGAATGGATCTAGAGAATCCACTAACTCGAGCTCTGCGTCACCTCCAAGGGTGATCATCTGGGATCAGATCAAACAGTTAATATAGTTCACATCAAACTACTTGAACAAGTTTAATTGAAAATTTGAGATTATGATCAAAATTCAATAGAAAGTATTAAATTATTATAAATCAATAAAAAGTACATCATGGCTTATAAAATATGTCATATATTTTTTAATTAGAAATTTGCAGCTAATTTCAGTCAAGCCTAAGCTATAAGCATATGATGACGCGCCTTTCACGTCCATGAAATCTGTGACAAGTTATTACAGAAATTTTGATTTGGATATGTACTACAGAAAATAAGGTTTTAAAAGATTAGTTAACTGCAAGACATACAACCTGGTACATCTCTTTGAGCTTCAAAGATATTGTATTAAAGCCTGCCATAAATTCATCATATCTGGCACAGCGAATAGTATTTCAGAATAATAATAATAATAATAATAGTAGTAGTAGTAGTAGTAATAAACAAAAGATACAACTAGGAATGAGATAAGCAAAATGGAGAAGATTGACCTTCTTTTTCTCCATTCATCATATTGTCTTTTTATATCATCGCGCTCTTTGGTCACAGCATTAAGTTCTTCTACTCTTCCATTGTACAGAGATACTTTCTTCTTATACCTAGCAAAGGTGAAAATGCTTAGCACAAGGCAGGAGACATATTTTTACTTTATGAAACAGAAGAATCATCTTACTCTGAAATTGAATCGAGATTGGGGTTCATCTCTTGCAATTGGGCTTCAAGAAGGGAAACAGTCTCAAGAGCTCTTTTAAGGTCACAACTCCCTGAAAGAGTTTCATCAGTCAGGGTTGCTTGAAGCTTTTCCAGGTCCACCATTTCAAGCCGAATTCTGGTCCAAAGGTAGACATGTGTTTTAAAAAATAAAGGGTCTGTGACAACTTGAATGTGAAAGAGAGTGAGATCTTACTGCTCCATATGCTTTGAAAGTGATACTTCCAATTCAGCAAGCTTTTTCTCATAAGCTTTTCCCTTGTGTTCCAACTCTTTGTACACTTTTTTCATATCTTGCAGCTTGTAGTCAGCATCCACCTGCACCTCCAGTCGAACAATATTATGAAATATTGGAATGACTTCGCTACAAAAGTAAGAAGAGAATATAGGGTTTAACTGCACAAGACCTCTGATGCCCGTAACTCATCCATGGTCTTCTTAAGCTTTTCATAATCTGATTTTGCTTTATCCAGAACATCTTTGTGCTGATTGGTGAGCTGTAAAGAAAAACGAGCGAATATATATGACTGAAGTAAATTCTGCATGATAAAAGAAAGTAAAAGAATTTTTTCATACCTCCTGTATTTTTTTATAGTTTTCCTGAACTGTAAAAGCCTTCTGCTCGATCTCTTTGAACATAGATAACAAATTTTCTCTCTTTTCTGTCATTTTCTCCTTCTCTTTCTTAGACTCCTCTATCCCCTTTACAAGCTTTTTTAACAATTTCTGACCTGTTTCAATTTGAACTTTGCAGCGATTGATCTCTGTTCTTTTATTGTCAATATCCTGACATAAAGCAGCATTAGTAATGGGAGATCTTTGGGAAGCAAGTGTTGCATGGATTATTGTGAACAAAACAAAAAGAGATTTGTCAATAATTTCCACCAAACTTGAATTTATGTCCACTTGATTCTTACCAGCTGAATTTTGTTAACCTTTTCCTTCTGGTTTTTAAGCTGTATACCACCAGCATTCTCTATTCTTTTCTGAAGTTCGGAAGCCTACAACAGAAAAACTTCATATGTAACTGAACCTTTTGACAGTATAGTTGCTAGACAGAGGCTGAGCTAAGTGCAATGCCCAGAGGTGAAAAGCACTTGAATAGAATAAAACCAAACCTTGTCTTTCAGTTGCTTTGATCCTTGTGTGAGCTTTTCTATTTCTTTTTCTTCTCCTGATGTGATGCTCTCAAGCTCCTCCAGTCTATCAACTTCAACCTGGCTTGGATTTGATGCTTTCTTTAAAGAATCCATTTGCTTTTTTAAATCGCTATGATGTGATTTCAAGCTGTCAACCTGGGTTCAAAACAAAAATTAAGATCTACAAGGAAAGCCCCGCTAGTATATACTACCTCCATCCCAAAATTAACTTCCCGTTCGGTTTACAATGCTTGATTGACGATAAAGCAACTTGATCCCTATTCACACTCGGATTATTTTTAGTAAATAAAATTTACATATTCAGAAACTACATTAAAACCGCTACAAAGCATGATCAAGAAAATTTAAGTTTGATAAAAATTTGATATATAAAGTAAAAGATTAGGAGTGATTCAAGTTGACCAATGAATAATAACTGTGAAGTTGTTTTTGGGACGTAGGGAGTATGTATTAATTGATTTACAAGTGTATGTATATAAAAGGCTTAGATTACAGACCTCCTTCTGGCTTTTGGCTAATTCCATCTCCAGGTTTGATGTTGCTCCATCCAAGGATCGGTAACGTGCCAGTGCTTCAGAAATTTTTTGCCTAGCATTCCTCAAGCTTGCACTTAATTTTGAAAGCTCATCTTCAGCATAAGAAATAGCTTCTCCAGAAACACTGGCAGGTCGGATTGATGATCCCATCTTACCACCACGTGGCTTACTTCCTCCACCACTCATAGTTCCAGCTCTTTCAAAAAGAGCACCATCAAGTGTTACAACACGCCTGAATTCTCTGTTTCCTCCGTATGCGATTCGGGTTGCCTATCGATCAAAAGGCACAATGATACCATATATATATACATGAGAAATAAGGGAATGAAAACCTTTGGAAAAAAAATCATGAATAGCAATAATACTGCTTATCAGGTCATTATTTAATACCAGCTCACTCAAATATATGACTGATATTTAACTTTGTCTATTCCATAACACGAAAATTTTTCATCATCCTATAGGAAATCCAGGCGAGGCAGAAGTGAATGAGTGAAAGTATATGTCACCTGATCAATATCTTTAGCAACAACTGTATTCCCTAATGCAGCAAAAAAAGCCAGCTTCAATCTCTCATCTTGAACCTTAACTAAATCAAACAGCCGTGGAACTCCTTCAGGTGTAGCTGCTTTCTGATTCATTTTATATAAATGATGACCCTGTTTCTCCTGCAAAAGCAGAAAGCAATATAAAAGAATAAGAGACAGACTTTAAGGGGAAAAAAGGACTCCAAGACCATCCATATCCATCGCAACTAGCTATTTCACATATTTTGTCAGGTTTAACTGTTTTTTTTTTGTTTTTTGTTGAGAGGGGTACCTTACAAACAAATTGGGGGGATAGGACATGGCCAACACAGCCGGGGGTAGACATTCCCTTACACTCACCATAAAGGTGGAAGCTCACCTCACACACTTGGAGGGTTCAAACTCTGGTACCAATACCATAAGTTTACAACTCACTGCTCAGCCTCTTGGTTCAAACTTAACTAGTCAAAGCTAGTAGAAAACCCCATTTCAATGATGAGGCTAGCAACTTATGTCTTGACTACCCAAGTTTGTTTGGTCTTCAAGGCTAGCTATTTTAATATGTGTTCATTCTATCTCTTCTTTACATCTTCAAGTACCATTAAAATAAACTTATTACCAAAATAAATATAATTACTTGGTTCTTCAATAAAACAATCGAACAGAGAGAATAAAAACTAGTAGCATTCGAGTATGAGAGTATCCACACTTCCCAATGTAGTTAAACTTATAGAGAACGGATCTGGTCAGCCCGGACTGACGGGAACTCCCGTCTGGCCAAGCCTGTTTGAGGATCTTTCGGGTTGAATTTTTCTATGAAATTTTGTGAGCATGTTCTTCATGAAGTGTAGATTATCTCCACAAAAATTCAGCTTAAAATTCAATCGGGAAGCCAGTTAAATAAATTATTGAAAAAGAATGCAATTTATAATATATGTATATAACTAACTTCCCTGATTGAATTTTAAGCTGAAATTATGTGGAGATAATATGCACTTCATGAAGAACATGCTCACAAAATTTCATCAAAAATTTTGATTCGGAAGGCCCTCAAACGGGCTTGACCAGATCAGTTCTCTATACTTATATTTTAATCGTATAGCTAGTGATTGTTGGAGCTGCTCTAAGGCTACCCCCAATCGATTTCTGTCAATAAACCCAAATATACACTCAATTAATACAAAAACAGCATATTTTCGTAAACACAAAATCAGAAAGATAAGTTCCAAGTTTTTAATTAAGATTTAAAATGAAATACAAAAACACACTGAAAATAAATACCCCATCCATCCAATAAAAATAGACATGTTTTAACTTATGTTTTGGGGCCAAAAATAGTTATATTTCATAAAGCTGACTAATCTCTCATGTCATTACATTACTTCAAAAGTCGTACCTTGCGTAAACTAAAAAGTTATACCTTCCCCAAATAGGACTACTTTTTAGGCGGGGATGTGCGAATAAAGTATGAAGTCTAACTTAAGCCAAACAAAACAAAGCTGTTGTGTTTTAAAATAGACATGTACCAAAATCATAAAAGTTGCAACACCGAGGTTTTTATTGCGTAATAGCTCGACGCATGACTGTGCTGCTGTAGTTGTCTCCACTACAATGTAATCGAGTCCAGCACATGCTGTTGATATTGCAATGTCATACTTCTCTGTCAAAATTTAAAATGAATCAAAATACACCCAAGCATAGAAGCATATGGACATATGGTGCAGTGAGACATGTCTTAAAAAAAAATAACACAAACTAAAAAATGCAAGGATTAGTTGCTAGCAACATTGTAATAAGAAGCCACAGGGAACAAATATTGCCATGAAAGCTAAATCCAGTTATATGATTATTAGAAATGAGAACACCAATATGGCAACCACATAATTTTACTTCATATTCTAATACTTGTAGAAAATGTCATATTGCACTTTAAAAAAACTTACTATCTATAAAGCAACCAAACTGCAAGATGAGAAGATCCACATGGTTATGTACTACTCAATTGATAGTTTAGAGGAACACCAGTGTAAGAAGAAAACAAATCCAGCTACATATGATATCTGGATAGACTTAGCACACAAATTTCTTCCACTTGAAAGGACAAAAAGTAAATGTAAGTGAGTTGGTACAAAAAACATAGAACAGAAAACACTAACCATCAATAGCACCTAAATCACCCATACGACCATATATTCCTGGAATGATGTTTTCCGCCTTGGCATGCAGTAATGCTTTCAAAACAGATCCTTGACTTTTCTCAGACTCCATAACAGATACAAGCTCTGTGAGCTTTGCTCTAGCGTCTTTTTCAAGAGGAATTAGTTTTTGCTCTTCTATGACGTGTTCCTGTGTTGGTTCAAAGTTGTCACCTTGTACATTTACCAAAGGAAAATAAAGAGAACCATGAGATTTCAAAATTCACAAGCTACGAAACAAAGTACATACATTTTCCATTTTTTGGGCTTCTGATTTTCCAATCTTGTTCCTTTCAAGCTCGCTCATCAAATTATTTATGCTTGCAACTTTATTCTGAATTCTTTTTTCTATTTCAATCATCTGCTTCTGAGCATCCTCATAAGCAACACGGCCAGACTCGTGCTGCAAGTAGTCAACATCATCATTTAGACATCTTAGCAGATAAATCAAATCACAAGATAAACTCAACTGAATAGTGTGTTTGGACTTTGGAGTACAAGAATATCCTCTTGAAGAATATCCAATAAGATCTTATACCTGATTGCAATGAATTTCCTTTAAGAACTATAACTAACAGAGAACTTATGGCTGACATATATTGTAGATAATGAAAATAAACAAATTTATAACAATCAGAGCTACATGCAATGTCTTCATCGATGACAATCACAACCCTCTCTAAAAGTGGACAACTATGAAAAAAGGCAGACTAAGTTTATGTTAGAACTGAACAACACTATGCACTTACCTTCTCAACTAGAAGTTTCATTTCAGTGGACGCAACTTCAAATTTTCCTCTGTGTTCAATCAATTGTTTCTCCCATGGTTCTAATTCAGCTCGTACATCAGCAAGTTCACTTCGGAGAGCCTCCGTTTCAACTATTGTTTAAACATTAGATAAGATAAATACCATTAGGTAATCACTCCATCCATGTCCTTAAGGTCATTGCTTATAGTCCAGAGAATAAAAGCTCTCAAGTGTATGTTTGGCATGCAATTTCATCAAGATGATAATGAAATATTGTGATTATATCTACTAAAAAGGAACTTTGTTTAGAAAAATGTAGATTGAATAAAGTTTCTTAAAGTAGCTTTTAAGTTAACTAATTCATTCAATCTATCACAGTCCATCTTTGTCCTCCTTTTATTGAATCCATCCAATAACACCTTTTTCAATATTTTACAGTATACCCTTTTATTTTGCATATTCTATCTACCATTTCATCTATTTAGTCAGACATGTTTATTCATTTCATCTAGTATTTCATATTCATTGATTTCCACTTTATCATCATCTTTCACCTAACATCAAGATTTGTAACTTTTTGGGCCAAACATATTCTAAAAAGTTCAGCAGAACCATTATTCCAGTTTCATTAGACTGTCAGAGAGACAAATACGGAGTATGTAATACTTCAAGTCATTTAAAAAAAATGACAAAATGACAAATCATACAAAGATGACAGATCATGTGAAATCATTGACAGGTTGACAAAGGTGAGGGGACCATGAAAGGCTCTCATTCAGCAATGCATTTAACCCGCTCATACCATCAAGACCTTAGTATAAGATCCCTAATATTTTACCAGCACATATAAAATACTCTATACCTTTAGAGGCCTCTTTAATTTCCTCTAGGATTCTTTCCTCGTCTACTAAAAGCTTTTGCAGCTCCGGAATATCTTCCTCCAGCCGTGGAATCAAATTAGTTGACTCCTCACACTGTTTGGTGATATCATCAATTTTTGCTGAATCCTAGAACCCAATACGAGTATACGACAGATATGTCAACAATTATTCTAACACTATAGGATATAATTTTTCATATAGTAGCAAAGGAAATGTTCTTTTCCTAAACCTTTTCTAATTTAACATCAAGCTTTTTCATCTTCTCTTTCAAATGCTTCAAATCCTCACGATACTTCACATCTTGCCTTTCAAATTCCTTGAACTCATCCTTGCAAGATGCCATATTATTACCAAGCTCCTGTTTTAATAAAGAAAAAGTTAAGAAAAACAGCATTAGAAGGGCCAAAAAGAGAAAATAAGGAGATAGGAGTTCAAAGAGTATAACTAAAAAAAGTTGTGACTGCAGTGACCTCTATGGCTGCTACCCTAAGTCACCGGTCAAAGTTAATTAGATGAATGAAACCCATACCTCGTGTCTTTTCATATACTTCAAATGAAGGGCCTCAAGTTCCTTCAATGTTTTGCTGCTTTCTCTAATCTTCTCCCTGCAACATACTATTACCAGAATTAATTGCAAGCAAAACACAAGAAGACGCATGTGCAGGACTGAATGTAGACAAAACACCTTTCACTTTTAAGATTCTCTTCTGTGGTAGAAATGTTTGCCTGTATCTCCACAATTTTAGCTGAATTATCTTCAAAAGCTAACTTTGTTGCTTTCTCTTTCCATTTTAGCAGGGATAATTCTTTGAGCATGTAGGCTTCGGCTTCATCCTTTACCCCCTGATAGATTGAGCAGCACATGTTAATATAAGCACAACTTATATGAGGTGAGTTGACATGGGAAACATACCTCCAGGCTATCTCTTTCTTTTTCCGCAAGCTTCACCATTTGAACAACCCCAGTTCTGCTCTCATTGAGGGATTCGAGCCTATAAGAAATAATGTCGCGAACACATATGTCACATGAATACACTCAATATAAAATATGATACGGAGTAGTTGATCTATGATGTATATGCATGGCGGTTAAATTGCTAGTAACATTCTGGCACTATGTCTCCAGCAATGTAAAACAAACCAAACAAAACATACCCAGTAGGTCCCACCTCAAAGTAGGGTCTAGGGAGGGTGAGACGTGCATAGACTTAACTTCTACCCCTAGAAGTGGATGGCCTGTTTCTGTGAGGACCCCGTCCATGCAACAATTAATTGCTAAAAGATTAAAATGAAAAACTGGAGAAAATTGATGCAGAAGGACTGTAGGACCACAAGGGCAAGCTACAGGAAATAAGTTTGTGTTTTTTATTTCCTAATATAAGAAGTTTAAGACTAAACAGCCATAGGTCCAAATTCACCAAAAATTATGAGCAGAGTGACAAATTGTAGTTGTGAAGTATATACAGCACACGAGGAGTGAAGATAATCAACTTTGATGATGAGATGAAGCTTACTGCTTAAACGATTCATCAATCTTTTCAACATATTTGTTGGTTCCAATGATATCCTCCAGATATTCAAGAAAGCCTTCATCATGTGTTCCTTGTGCTTTTGGCTTCATCAATGATATCTGCTCAACCTCCCCCTGATGGAAATACACCTTTTGTCAGATTTGAAATCTGGGCGAATTTGGACTTAAAATAAGAAAGCCAAACCTGAAGAATAAGAAAACGATTGTTATCCAAGTCAACTCCTTTCCCTCTCAATTTTTTTGTGACCTCAGTAAAATTGCTTAGTCTATCGTTGATGTAGTATTTGGAAGAATTGTCTCTAAAAGCAACACGGGTAATCATAAAATCACTTCCGGGTACTGCTTCAAATGTTCCATCATCCTATTAAGAGAACCAAGTTATTGAAAGTATGATTATCCTGAATCCAACTTCACTAGCAGAGACGAAAGTATAGTACATACCAAATCAACAATTTCCTGAAAGTGAACAGATACACCAGCACTCTCCAAATTCTGGTGATTGGATGAATTGTGAATGAGCTCTGATACTTTATTAAGCCGCATCTGGGAAAACATAATCAAGTTGCAAATTTTAAATGAAAAACAAAGTAAAAAAGATATGATACACATGAAAGTCTTAATTTTGATTTCTATTGACTGTGCCTACGTGGATATCTTCTGTTCATTAATTTTTGTCACCAAACAGGCAGAAACTAAAGGGGCTGTATATGAAAACAAAATCAACAAAACACATGAATGAAATTCTTTATACTTGTTTAGCTCTCTTTCCGAAAACAAACAACATGGCATCGATGACGTTGCTCTTCCCACTTCCATTGGGACCGACCACTGCCGTGAAACTCTGAAGAGTACAATCTTAAGTGTTAGAACATTCTAACAATTTTGTATTTCTCAAGACAAAGTTTTTAAGAAAACCCTAACCTTGTGAAAGGGGCCAACGCGCTGTTCGCCAGCATAGGATTTGAAATTTCTCATCACCATCTCTTTGATGAAAAGCCTCGGAACTCGACATCCAGCTCGATTGACATCGGTCATCACTTCATCAACCGGCGACGAACCCATCTCCCCGCTCATGACTAGTCGTGCATAAACCACTTTTTCTGTAGCTAAAATCGCCTAAAATCTTCGACTAAGCTGCAAATTGCGTGCTTATGCACGTTTGCTGCAGTTATTATTACTGTCACTGTCGGTATGAGAAGAAGTAATAATTGATTTATACTGGGAACAACATTTTGAGCGGGAACTTTTTGAACTACAATGACAACATGAGTGCGCCGGGTCTCAAACAAAACATACCTGATCAAACTGGTTTTATAAAATAACGAAAATTAGCTAATTTGGCTGATTCTGCTGAAATTTACGAAGTTTTGGCTGATTTGGCTGCATTGGCTGATTCTGCTGATTTAATAAAAAATTATTTTTAAAATATATTTTATTAATAAAATAAAGAAAAATTATATGTAAAAATAGCTAAAATGGTCATCTACAATAACTTCAGTCAATACAGCCAGAAAAGTAACTTCAATCTTAGAGCCCGTTTGGAGAACTCTGTTTTCGGCTTATCAGGCTTATCAGCCAGCTTTTTCACCAAACACGTAACTTTTACTTTCGCGCGCTGAATTGTGTAATAAGCCGAAAAAGTAAGGTTGGAGTTACTTTTCTGGCTGTATTGGCTGAAGTTACTGTAGAGGACCATTTTAGCTATTTTTACATATAATTTTTTCTTTAATTTATTAATAAAATATATTTTTAAAATATTTTTTTCTTAAATCAGCAGAATCAGCCAAAACAGCCACTCCAGTCAGAATATCATAAATTTCAGCAGAATCAGCCAAAACAGCCGATTTTGGTGCTACCAAACGGGCTCTTACTTTTTCTGCTTATTACACAATTCAGAGCGCGAAATTAAAAGTTACGTGTTTGGTGAAAAAGTTGGCTGATAAGCCGAAAAACATGGTTGCCAAACGCCTCGTAGTATTGGTCTTAATATATTGTGACACCAAACTAATATTTTAAAAAATGGATAATTTGAGTTTGCGCTATTGTTAACTTTGCATCCCGTTTTTTCACCCCAAGTCTATATGAAAAGACAAAAATGCTCTTGATCAAGTAATGTTGAAGGCCAAGATAAGCATTTTTGTCTTTTCTATTAGGAATTTCCTGACCATAATCTCATCCAACTATCATTATATGAGGTGCTTTCAGATATAATTTTTTGTGAACATGGTCTCCATGAAATGTAGAATATGTCCACTAGTATTCAGTTTCAAATTTAATCAGGAAGTTGATTAAACAAATGGATTAAATAAATTTTCAATTGAACTTTAAGTTTAAATTTGGTGGAAATAACCTAAACTTGGTGAAGAATGTGCTGACAAACTTTTATAGAAAAAAATTCCACTCAAAAGCACCTCAACCAGAGGGGATCAGACGGCGTTTTGGTCAAAAAATTCTTGACCAGAAGATTGCTCAACAAAATGAATGTTTGCGATAATTTTAAATAAAACGTTTTGACATTTCCATTTAGGAAGTTCAAAGTGGTGTCTGTACTTTCAAACAAGTTTTTATGTGCAAAATTGAGTAGTTTATCTTTAAAAGTCATAGACAAGAGTGTCTAAATAAGTTTTACATGCTTTATATTATTCAATAATAGTACGTTTTCCTACAAATATTTTAACTTTTCTTTTTTGAAACACTTTTGTTTTCAAACACCACCAACTCTTACTATTAATCATTATAATATATCTGTGTGCACGTAAGCCACTTTTCAAATACTCCCTAAGACATTTGCTCTAAACTTTAAGTATGTTTTTGTCTTGTGCACGACACCAGCAAAAAACTAGTTACTTAACAAAATGTTCTCCAAGTAATATCGCTAAAAATTATTACCTCGATGTTTAATTATATAAAAGTGATTGCATTCATATATAGACAAAAAGTGCTTTATAAGGTAATGAAATTAGAAAACTATATACATCACTATTTATATGACTAATATTAGTGTTTGATCTATGGTTGAAGTCATAGATGAAGAACTTGACGTGGCACTAAACACTGATTGAGCTATTTGGGGGGTGGGAAATTGCACCTGCACGTTTATTTTAATTTGTAATAGACGTGTTATAAATTCTCATATTAGTATAAGAAAAGGTTAATAATCAGAGTAACAAATTGTAAAGGCCCCAAGTGTCCAATAATTTGTTAACATGTCTTACTCGACAAAGAGTCATTAGTCGTTGTTCACATTAGCCAAGACACCTCAATGGATTGTCTTAATCCAATCCATTCAAATCACATCAAGATCATGGGGTCCACCTCTCACGATATTCTCATTTTCCAACAACATCAAACACCAGAATAAAAAAAAAATCAAATGTGACTAATCATATACTTTACAGATCATGTAGATCAGTCTTGTCATATATATGCTCCCTCTTGTTCATTGATATATCTACGAGGTTCTTTTCAAGGTAACCCGCCTCCTCCTCATCCTCCTCCTCCTTTTCATCATCATTATCATCACACTATTATTTCTATTGTGGTTGAAACTAGTTTTATTACCATTAATATTGTTACTAATATGCTATTTTCTATTGCATATTATTCTATATGCTTCTTGAGTTCTCTTTGTACGTTATATTGATTAAGTTGTTAATTGATTCATACCTTAAAAAAGCTTTAAATTATTCATTGTTGAAGAAACCACATTTTTACTTCACTTTTCGTGATTCCCCATTTTGAAAATTTTGGATCTAGAATCACTTTTTGGATTTTGTTTTTGTTTGATAGGGGTTGATTAAAGAAAAAATGGATGTTGGAGGGAAGAACAATGAGGGTGACTCTGAGATAAACACAAGACATGAAGAAGTGTTTGGAAGGAAACAAGGGAGACATTGATAAGTGCAAGTCACTCTTGGAGGCACTCAAAACTTCATATGTCCCTGCAAAAAAACAAGAATTGGCTCCCCTTATGTTGAGGAGTGGATCTTTGACCGATGTCTAACCATGTTTATAAATTCTCTTATCCCCTTGATTATGTAGGGACATGTTTCGTATTTTTTTGTGCCTTTTCTTTATACCTTGGAGGGTCAGGGGTGGGGGGTAGGGGGAGTTCGGGGTAAACAGGACTGAAACTGCTTTCATGGAGTTTTGAGCCCAAAACCTCTCATATGAGAGAGTGAGCCAGCGATCAATTGAGCTAGACCGCTTCCTTGACATGTTTTTTATTCAGTGGGACTATTTTGTAATGTACAGTATCATGTCATAATAGATGATTTCCTTATGTGTATATGTTTGCGTGTGTGTATTATATACATACATACGTACGTACGTACGTACATACATACATACATACATACATACATACATACATACATATTGTCACGTCCCGGACCTACCCGGACACGTCAACAACCCGCCGTACAATACGAATACTCAGCCGCAGTCCAATCCATCCATATTATATAAAGCGTCTTGAATATCATTCACACATATAACGTCCATAAACAAACATAATAAGTAATACATAACGCAGCGGAAAACATTGTTTAAAACAAAAGGGCCACACAGGGCTATTCATGAGCACACAGGCTCTATAGTAAAACATACATGAGCATGTTTATTATTGTTCAAAACATAAATGGAGAAAGTACGAATCACGTCTTCTCTCCAAGATGATCACCCGAGCAACGGGCACAGATAGCAAGCTCTAGCCTCAACCTGAAATGGTGGCGGGACGCCCCCGAAGGGGTTAGTACTCTATACAGCTATAAAGTACTGGTGTGGCAGACATCTAATAGATATACAACAAGTATTTCATACACAAGACCCTCAAGTAGGGTGATAATATAATCTAGGACGTAACCCCAAGTTGCCCTTTTTTCAAAATATACTTACTTTATATAAAGTCAAGTAGTCGACCCGTAGGCCCATGTTTATCACAAAACATAACCCAAACCCCGTGACCACTAGTCACGACAATACATAGGGTCCAACCCTAATGCATCCACTTTATATCTACCCAATGCAATTCTAGAGCTCGGGCTCAAGTGCATCTCCTTACATTGGCATAGATTTGACCCTAAGTTCTAAACCTTATATCACATCATCAATCTCTGACATCATGTCCACCCATGCAATTCTAGAGCTCGGGCTCAAGTGCATCTCCTTACATGGACTGAACCTAAATCTTATGTCTACCCAATGCAATTCTAGAGCTCAGGCTCAAGTGCATCTCCTTACATTGGCATAGACCCTAATTCATAAGCACTCACTATGCCTAGAATTGTCATACATAAAGCTATCTTGGGACATCCTATGGACTGCCCCCAACTTAACCTTAGTTCACACTAAGACACAAATGACACTTGAAGTCCATCAAGTTCATCACAACACTATGCAAACCCTAGGTTTGATTTTATCAACAATTCGAACAATCCTTGTCTAGTATTTCATTACAATTAAGATTATTCTTACAAAACATTTATCCACTTATGGGAGCCCCTACATATTAATAATATGTGGCAGCCTCCCCATGTGTTCAATTTCATCATTCAAGTATTCGTTTACATAGGCATATCATGCATACACGAGTAGAGATGGCTATTTAGCATAATAGCAAATTTATACTTCACTTAACTCCTTATTCATTAATATGATTCCAAATCATAATCAAGTTCATTACTTATTCTTCATATCATGTTTAAGCATCTTTATTCATGAAAAACATGATTTAAGAATTTAGGTAATCTCATGCACAACCTACAAGTTGTAAGCAACTAGATGTCGGTCCTCACCTTAATTGAGCTTTAAACTTATCCTTCTTGATTCAATGGTCAAAGCTTCGGTAAAGGTGGATTAAGAACTGTTTCCTTGCTTAGAAATGAGTGTTAAACAGCCTCCTCAAAGTGCTAGCTCAACCTCTAACCGTTGATACAAAAATAGTCTCTAGAATGGGTGTTTTCCGGCGAACTCGTTTCCTAGTTTTTTCCAAGGTTTGCTCTAGGTTAGTATCTAACCTTTACATCAATAAAATGACTTTACATGGGCATATTATACACTTGAAATAGTGTATAATAGTTCCACCAATCGTTCATATCATTTGGTAAATGAAGTGAAAGGTTTTGGGATTATA